TGCATGTGTTGCATTAGGCATTTCTGTATAGTTAGGATCATGCATGGATTTCTAACACAGCTTCTGTTTTGGCTTGGAGTACTCGGTAAGTTTTATACTTTAGCTTCCTTGCATGCGTGTGAGTGACTGCCATGATAGCATGCTTACCATGAGGCTAACTACTTATGTGATATAACTGTCTGAATGCCTGTGGGTGAAGGTTGGGTTATTTGAATTGGAACAATTCATTGACTGTGAGTTTTAAGCCCACTAGACAGTGGCAAAATCATGTTTTCTAAGCCTACCCGAGGGTGGCAAATCCACGTCTTAGCCTACTTGCGGGTAGCACCATCAAACCATTTTCAAATAAACAAACATGAAATGTTTTGTCCCAATTCAGGCGACCCAGTCTATACTTGAATGTTGTGCGCATCACATAGTAAATCTAGGCTAATAACCGGAATAAGAACGCATAATGTTTTCAAAAACTGAATACATGGTTAGTAGAGGCCGATCTTTGATCGGGCGAGCGGGGGTGCTCACGAAGTGACCTTCCCCAATCGTACCCAAGTTCCCGAGCCGAGGCAACTTTGGTGATAACGGACACGTGGCCTTAAGCAACGAGTCAGGGTTTCCTAAATTTCTCAAGATAAAACATTTATGTGGCGACTCTGTATTTGGCAAAGCAGTCCATGTTTGACACTTCTTTCTAAAAGTCTGTTTTCTCAAAACGATTTGCCGGATTTAGACTCTTTGGTTCAGACTTAGAACCGTGACAATTATGAGAGTCCGAACTGTAGTGAACCCCAAAATGAACAGAACGGGACTCATCCTCCCGGGCCGTTCGGGGACGTCTACAGTGTATTCAAATTTTGAAATCAGAAAGAGATGAGAGGGGTGTGGGCGAGGGAGAGAAGGAGAGGGTGATTACATTTTGGATTGAATTCTCAGCCTTTGGATTGAATCAATCTAATGGCCTATCTTTTGATAAGGGGACAAAAGTCCAAATAGGAGTGAGACATTTTCAACCATTGGATTGAATCAATTTAATAGTGCATATTTTGACACATAGACAAAAATTCCATCAAGATTCAAAAACCTTTCTCCCTTATTATATAGATATATATTTTTTATCACAACTTACCAATCACCACTCCCAAATAAAGGGGGAAAAAAATAGAAAAACACAAAAAGCCCAATAAATATAGGAAAATCCATATCAGTATTTAAAGCGTATTTAGCAAACTTAGAAGTATTTATAGATCCGTATATATTTATGAGTATTTAGCAAACAATAGAAAAACTCATATTATAGAAAAACCCATTTTATAAATCAATAATTAACACCCGTTTCTCATTAAAGAATCAAACATTTCATTAACTCTGTGTGTGTGTTGAGTCAGTACCTTTGAGACCAAAAATAGTAGGAAGTGTCTAGTTCATCCTCCTCAGTCACAACATTTAAAAAAGGAAAAAAAAAAAAAAAAAAGTGTCACTAAGATTACTTGCCTCCAATTCTTAACTAATGTTTGATTCTTTGCCTTTTCATGAACTATCTCAGTAAGTCATCAATAAGTATAGCACATCCATTCAAATTCTACAACTCATATAGATTAGTTATTAAATTAAAATGAAGCATAACTGAGATACAAATAATGTAGAATCAATGTACTAAAGACATACCCAATGTCAAATTATACAAACCACATGCATGCACTAAATCCACATACTTATGTATATACCATAGCCAGAAATATGTATACATACACACAATGAATTGATGAATGAGAGCAAACCCATATGCAATTGCTGCCTAGATTTGATGCAACATAACTGAGATACAAATAAGAGCAGGCGAACATAGCCAGAAATATGTATACATACACACAATGAATTGATGAATGAGAGCAAACCCATATGCAATTGCTGCCTAGATTTGATGCAACATAACTGAGATACAAATAAGAGCAGGATCACTATACTAAGAGCATCTCCAACCCTAGTCATTTTTTTTTCATCAAATTTTAGAGAAATTTTGGTTAAAAGCTTGATCTAATATGGAACACTCAAACCTTACTCTCTTTTATTTCATCAAATCTTTCTAAAAAAATCCAAACCTATCCTAAAGATCTGTTTTAACCATTTTTAATGAAAAAAACACATATCCAATAATTACTCTTTTTGAAATTTCATTAAAAATATGACTGTTGAATAATTACTCTTTTTGATGAAATGGTTTGATCTGTATTCAGCCATTTTTTGATCAAATTTGAAAATGGGTATGTCTTAGAGAATCTGCAATCCTTATTAAGAGTATACCCATATTCAATTGCCGCCTTAGAGCAGATAAGAGCAGAACCAATGTACCAAGACATACCCATTTTCAAATCAAACCAAAAGCATACAAACTTATACACAATGAATTAAAGTACCAACCACAAAGAACAGACACAGCAGAGAGAGAGAGAGAGAGAGAGAGAGAGAGAGAGAGGAAGAAATTGCGATGCCCAAAAGAATATTATCTGAACCAAAGCATCACCTACTGTTTTCAATGGAGGTTCAGATGATGCTTTGATGATGATAAACAAAAACATTAATTTAAACCATTATAGACATACCCATTTTCAAATCAAACAACAATTGGCTCACCGAGAGAGGTACCAGAGGGGGTTCGAAGCAGAGAGAGAAAGAGAAGACGACGGCGTCGAACAGAGAAAGAATCTGTGGTGGTGGTGAAGTTGGTCGTGGAACAGAGGAGCCAACTCGGTGACCCAGTTCTCAATCGGAACCCTATTTTGCGAGCAGCGAACACTGAAAGAGAAGAGGGAAGATAGGGAGAGAGTTCTCAATCTAAAACCCTACCTTTGGCGTAGCGAGCACTGAGAGAGAAGGGGGGAGAGGAGGGAGGCAGAAAAGAGGGAATGGGGGAGGAGACGTGTGTAGGTGGGAGACGGAGAGAGCACATAGGGTTTGGGCGGGAATCAATCATCATTCGAACCATTGATGTTTATCAAAATTGATCTGAGCCTTTGAATCTAAATGTATCTCATATACATTTTATACATTTTCAAAAACCTTCCTCCCTTATTATATAGATATATATGATGATGTGTATATGTATGTATATAAAGTTTAAAATTTTTCTGTCTCATATAAGTCTGCACAGCTCAATGGATGTTGTATAATTGCTATTTGCTTCTGCAACCTCTAATTATATGTTATTCTGTTAAGAGGCTTTTGGTAATCTAAGGATTACTGGCCGGTTACGATGCTAAACCTATAGGAGCGGGTTTGGGTCGTGACACATATCATATCCACTGTGCATCTCCTCCCTCCCCCCCCTCTCTCTCTCTAAATATTACGTGCACACCACTTCTAATACCCACAAAAGGGAACCGAAAAAATTCTTTCTACTTTTCATGAGGAAAATGTACAAAGGTGAAAAAATTCTTATTTTTCCTATTGTACTTATGGATAACATCTACCTTGCTATGAAAAAAAATATATCATTAAGCATGTTTAATATTTAAAATGGTAGTCTCCTAAATTAAAACAGAGCCTTTCCTTTAAAAATTCAAGACTTAAAGCCTTCAAATTTGTTATTTGGACCAAAGGTATAAAATCCAACCCAATTTTTTTTTTTAAGTTCCAAATTAGGAAAGAAAGATCTTTGAGACTTCAATAAGTAGATAATTTCTATAGCACTCAAAACAACAGAAAATTAAATGAAAAGAATATATCTATATGAGCTTCTGTAAGTACCTTCCGAACATATAGAGATTCTTCAGCTAATTGGAAGCCCTATAAAAGACCAATGCTCGGAATAATTTTTGGAAGTAGATTATACACAGGCCTTGTACTTGATGCGCCATTATTGGGAAGACATTTAAGCTCATTCTCTAGATTGGAGTAAGGCCTCGTTTGGAAAGTAATAATTTTAGCCTAAAAGTCAAAAAATTGCTAAAAAAAATCAAAAATCCTATAACCTATACTAAAAAGTCAAAGATTCTCTTTTCTCTCTACTTTTTGCACATCTTTTCGTAAAAAATCAAAAAGTCATTTCAAACATACAAGTTTTTTTTTACTTCATATTTTAGCCAAAAATTCAAAAAATTACTAAAATAGCATGTTCCTAAAAGAGGCCTAAGCATCTGCAAATGCCGGCATCAAACAATGCGATTGAATGTAAGAAACATAGCATCAGTAAAATCATACCTATTAGGAATATTTGTTCATATAACCACATATTAGGCCTTGTTTGGGGATTACATGTTTTAGTCAAAAAGTCAAAAAGTTACTATAAGTTGTCATATCACTCTCTCTATTTTTCTGCATATCTTTTCGTAAAAAATTAAAAAGTTACTAAAATAACTTGTTCCAAGTTTGCCAACAAATCAAACAGTAATTACCTCTTAGCAGTAGGTGAATGTTCATAACTGGAGTAGCACACCTTGTAGAAACTTAGATTTTTATACACAAGATACAGGTTAGGCAGATATGGTTAAAAATCAGAGGTCACACGTCCTTGTGAATTAGGGGATTTTTTACAATGACAACTTCATGAAATCAACAAAAATTTACACAATGCTTCATTCATTTGAGTTTACTAATCAGCGAATGGATTAGCAGATTTATAAAATCACAAAAGGAAGCATGCAAAAGAATTAAGACATGAAACTCGGAAATATGCTAAACTTTTGTCCTCGAAACCTTCGGATTTTGTCCACATTGAAGTTGATATTTTTTTGAAAAGGTAAATGATTCTATTGAAGTCACCAAAAGGGGCACAACATGTGTAATAATAATAATAATACTTGTAGGAAAGACATAGTGGAAAAAATGAAATCTAAGAAATGGCAATATTTCTATAGAGAGTATGGCTGACCTTGATATATTGGTGTATTCGGAAGCAATTCCGGCCCACATTATTAGTTGGAAAAAGTGGATCATCAATGTAGATTGGATTGATGCTAAGAGATTCAATAGATGATCATCAAGAGTAGATAGAAAAAATAAATAAATAAGAGAGCACCAATAAAACACAAATCTCGATAAGTAAAGAAACCATTTTCTTCCATTACCTGTATCCTCTTTCTCTATTTATGTATACCCCCACTTCCCCGTACTAAAATACACATTTGGCGAGGATCAAACACATTCCTGGGTTGAACAGTCATCATGGTTAACAAACAAAGATGATAAAAACTGGAGCACATGCATCAAACAGAAAAATTACAATAAAAAATAGAGCCCTAGGCTAAAATATAAATAAGATTTTTTTTTTAAACCATCTAAGATATAGCATTTAGTCTTACCCAAAAAAGTAGAAAAAATCCATCAAAAGGCTTCCGAAGTTCTACAAAAAAATAAATAAATAAATGACCGAGAAAATTAATTAATTAAAATTTTTATATAATTAAATTATCATAAATATTTTAAGATAACATAAAAATTTAGAAATAAAGATATATATATATATATATTTGGATAAATAGGGAAAAATATGCACCTTATGGGTACCAGACTAAAGTCTTTTATAGTCTAAATAAGCATTCCAAAATAGATTTATTTCCTGCTGTTGGTGGCCAAGAGTTTTACTAGCAAAAGAAGAGAAATTCTATGAATTGGGCAACTGTATTGCCAAAAATAATAGGGTGTTATGATAAAGTAAAATAAAACATGATCCTTTTTTCTTTTTCATATTCCTAAAATGCTGACGTTTTAATATTCTATGTAGTTTATTACAAGTATGTAATATAGGAATTGGGCTTTGGGCGAGCTTTCGCATCTCAACTGTGTGAAGAGGTAATCATTCAAAACCCATCTCCCCATTGATTCATGATTGAACCTTCCTCCCATTCACGGTGAAGGACCAGTGAGTCTCCTAGTGCGGTTCCAAGGACCTTTTCCACCACCAATTCGATTCGATTCTTTCAAAAATCAAGTCACTGGTTTGCCGAGGTGAGAGAGCTCTAGTAGCGTCTTCGCAGCTGTGAGAGCTTTGTTTGCTGGTCCTGAGTCGCCTTCCAACTGTTCGACAAAACACCTCAGTGAAAACACTGCTACTGAGCTGCCATGAGATGATTAAGGAGAGAGAGAGAGAGAGAGAGAGATAGATAGAGAGAGAGGTGTTAGGATCAAACACACCCAAAAAATTATCTTACACACACATAGAACACTATATTTACGTGGTTCGGCTCAATGCCTACATCCATAGAGCAGAAAAGAGAATTTCACTAAAATGGAGCAAAATACAAATACAGAGGAGGAGATAAAATTCTCACTCAACTCACAGCTCTCTCTCTCTATTTTCTGATACATTCATCCTCTCCCTCCCATCTCTATTTATACACAAAGATGAGAGAGAGAGAAATAGAGAGAGAGAGAGAGAGGAAACAAGCCCACACAATTTTCTACCTTCTTTAATGGTGAGGGTGAGTGTCAACAACGTAAAGGGAAGGGAGAGCAGATGCCCAGCTCAGACTTTCACTTCTCTTGAGGTGGAAGTCTTCCTATACCATTCTTCCTTGACTCTCTCCTTTGCATGCTTGTGGGTTGGATCATCTAACAATTCTCCCCCTCCATACCCACATGCATGACTGACGTCTTATTTGAAGTCCATCCCTGCAATGTCTCTGCAAATTTCGACTTTGTCTCTCGAGACCACCTTTGTAAGCATGTCAGCTATATTCTTATCTGTGTGGATCTTGATCGATTCCAATAACTGCTTTTCCATCACTTCGCGTATCCAATGATACTGAACATCAATGTGCTTTGTGCGAGAATGGTACATCGAATTCTTGCTCAGGTCTATGGCACTCTGGCTACTACAATGTACCGTGAACTTCTCTTGTTTTAGTCCCAACTCTTGGAAAAACCGCTTTAACCACAACATCTCTTGTCCAGCTTTCGCTGTGGCAATATACTCTGTCTCGGTTGTGGATAAAGAAACACACTTTTGCAGCTTAGACTGCCAAGACACGGCTCCCCCTACGAAGGTGAACATGAATCTTGATGTAGATTTCCTACCATCAAGATCACTTGCTATATCTGAATCAATATAGCCTTCCAAGACTGGTTTAGCATCTCTAAAGCACAAACACATTTTAGATGTACCCCTAAGATACCTCATAATCCACTTGACTACTTTCCAATGTAGGAAAGATTGATTGGAAAGGAATCTGCTTACTACTCCAATAGCATGAGCAATATCTGGTCGGGTGGACACCATTACATACATCAAACTCCCTACGGCGGATGAGTAAGGAATAGCCTCCATCTCTTCTCTATCTTCTGTAGAAGAGGGACAAGAACTCTTACTCGGCTTGAAATGATTCGGAGTACTGACTGGCTTGGCATCTTTCATGTTGAACTTCTCAATCACCCGTTCAACGTACTTCTCCTGTGACAGCCATAACTTCTTGGCTTTCCTGTCACGCATAATTGCCATTCCCAAAATTTGCTGAGTAGGGCCTAGGTCCTTTATGTCAAAGGATTGTGATAATTCATTCTTCAGTGATCTGATTATTGTGGCATCCTGTCCAACGATCAGCATGTTGTAGACGCGCCCTTGGGCCTTGCTACAGTTCGGACTCAATTGGTGTCACGGTCCTGTATCTAATCTCGCAGTGTGCAATGCAAGACCGATGAATCATCAAAGAGTCCAAATCCGGCAAATCGTTTTTGAAAACAGATTTTTTTTGAAAGAAGTGCCAAATATGGACTGCTTTGCCAGATACAGAGTCGCCACCTAAATATTTTATTTTGGAAAATTTAGAAAACCCTGACTCGTTTGCCTAAGGCCACGTGTCCGTCATCACCAAAGTTGTCTCGGCTCGGGAACTTGGGTACGATTGGGGAAGGTCACTTCGTGAGCACCCCCGCTCGCCCGATCAAAGATCGGCCTCTACTAACCATGATATCGAGTTTTGAAAACATTATGTGCTCTTATTCCGGTTGTTAACCTAGTTTTACTATGTGATACGCACAGCATACAAGTATAGACTGGATCGCCTGAATTGGAATAAAACATTTCATGTTCGTTTTGAAAACGGTTTGCTACTCGCAAGTAGGCTAAAATGTGGATTTGCCACCCTCAGGTGGGCTTAGAAAACAAGATGATTTGTCACTCTCGAATGGGCTTAAAACTCACAGTCAATGTATTATTCCAATCCAAATAACCCAAACTTCACCCACAAGCATTCAGGCAGTTATATCACATAAGCATATAGCGTCATGGTAAGCATGCTATCATGGCAGTCACTCACATCCATGTGAGGATGCTAAAGCATAAACACTTACCGAGTACTCCGAGCCAAAACAGAAACTAGTTAGAAATCATGCATGATCCTAGTTCATGTTAAGATGGCTAATGCAACACATGCAAAATGCAACTAGAAATAGGCTCGGCTATCCTAAGAATGGCATATGAGATGCTACAGCTAACACGTATTCAATTTGGAATTGAAATACAATGCAGTTAGTATGATGCGCCGAGCCCGGTGCATGCAATACAGATGAATGATGCAAACATACGAACATAAGTATGCTAATTGAAACATGCCCTAATCTAACCATCATAAGCAGGTAAATAAAAGGGAGAAAGACGTGGGGTTGGAAGACATGCATCACACATACGCACACTAATTACAATTGTGCCCTCGCTCGGAGGGTCCGAATAAATAATACAATCCGAATAATGAATTACAGTTTATTATTACATAACCACTAACTAATTAGCAAATTAGCTAAGTAAACAAGTAAATTAAAAGAATATGACTGCCTCGGCTCCGTCTTGGATGATAATGGATGCATGCATGCTCGATGCGCTTTGTCGGTAAATTCCATTGCGATGCCTTGTCTCGCCATTGTTTGCAACTGATTTTAGAAACTTACACAAAGCTCCAGGAGGCTGAAACTCCACCTTGGGAAAACCACCGACCAGGTATTGGATTAGAGAGCCCTTGCCGACCACCTCTTATGGTGGAAACCAAAAAAGGTGGTCGGCTTACCAGAAAACCTGGTCGGCCGACCACTTTCTGCCCCTGGACTCTGGTTTTTCTGCAGCAAAGGCAAGAAGGAGAGAAAGCAAGGTATTTTCAACGTATGTGTGCGCGACCACTCCTCCCCGTTCGTGCACAAGCTCTAGGGAGTGTGGCCCTCAGTTCTCGAGCCACCAATCACGCATCTCGATGTATGATGGCCGAGAGACCGAATTGCACATTTTAATATGACATGAATGCAAGTATGAACATATGAAGCCAACAATTCTATCATAGATAATCAAGAACGTCGGGGACCGGGAATCGAGGCACGTTTCGTCACTTGGAGTACGAAACGCCCCTCGTTTCCCATGCTTGGACTAAACCCTATCCCAAGCACCATGCAAATGGAATGGCATGCACAATGCGACTAACATGCAACCTAGCATAGGCAATGCTATGTACTAAAACGGCATACGCAATGCGCGTGATGTAACATGGCATACACAATGCTCTAAAATGCAACCTAGCATACGCAGTGCTATGGATTGAAATGGCATATACAATGCATAATGGACTTATACCAACATGAGTGGACCTCAGCCACACTCACATCAGTGGCCAGGATGGAAATGAGAGAACCGAAATGCGTGCACACATGTACGCAAACCGATGACCGAACCTAAGACACAACATGCAACTCTAACAAGGCATGGCAAGGCATGAAAGATGGCATACAAACATGTAATTTCCAGCACTGAAACATGATGCTAAATGGTCCCGAAACATGGAAATATGGCACCCGATGCATGAAACAAACCCCGAAACCCAAAGCTAGGCACATGTATTGACTTATGACTATGTAAAGAAAGTGTTATTTGATCATGAAGCACAAAGACAGAGCCAAGGCAGTCCCAAAACATGCACATTTCTAGTTTAAATCATGGCCAAAAGATGCTAACAAGATGGACTAAAATAGCATGCAACTTTGACTAGCAAGCATGGTTTACATGGCATGTATATGAAGCATATGAGAACTCATCAAACCAGCCAAAAACAGTGAATAAAATATGTCAAAATATGCCCAAATAACCACTGAAATGCAGCCAACATGTGCAAAAATGATGAGCTCCTTTGGAGGGCCATACAGGGGATTATTAAGCACATACAAGATAGACATTTAGCAAGACCAAATCAACTCTGGAAATAGGTTATGACAGCCCTAAAACCCACCAAATAGACCCTGAAATCAGCCAACAAAGCATGCAAGGGAAGGCCCTCTTGAAAACCCTTGAGGAGGGTTGTTCCACACATGCATCATAGGCATAAAACATGGCCAAAAGGGCCTCAGACAGAGCCAAGGCAGGCCCCAAAACCCTCAGAATAAGGCCTGGAAAGTGACTTCAAGGCATGCAAGAAGGGGTCCCTTTGGAAGGCCAACAAGACCACCGAACAAGACAATGAGAGAGGGGGTCACCCCCCTCTGATTTTGGCCTTCAAGCCATGGCCAATGCAAGTGCTCTAATGCATAGCCCTAATCATGAAGAGATGAAGCATGCATAGGGGGAAGATGACCCCAAACAAAAATGGGGCCTTAACCAAACTTGAAGAGGATGTCAAAACAAGACTTTTTCCAGTTTATAGCAAATCTCGAAAATGTAACGCCCTCAAAATAATACATAAAACCCAACAATTAAACATGCATTGATATAAGAGAAATCAACCATTTCTATTCATCAGAGTAGTTCTTTCTACAGTATTACATGTTAACAACAAAAGCAAATGCCCTACGGGCTTACAGCTTTCCAAGTCAACACTTGGTTACACAAAAGAAGAGTACTAACTCTATACAAAAGAAACCCTTGGCTTGATGTACTTGTAATACAAACAAATAAACAAAAAAAAAAAAAGTCTTCAACTCTCATCATCATCCAAGCTATGTCCTTGGAGGTCGCATGCTACCTGTACCTGAAAATAATGTCCCATATAGGGTGAGCCAACGTCCAGTAGAGATATGCTAAATACAGTATGAGCAATAACTAAGACATTAGCAAATGATAAATGTTTAATTTCCATAAATCAATTC